GTAAGAAGTGCCAATGTTTAACATTCTCTTAATGCTTGTATTTAGTGCATGATGTTCATTAAAGACCACACTACACTCCAACTGCCATAAGATTTCAACTAAGCTAGCTGTCCCTAAAGTGGAATTAAGATGGTTCTTTTGAAAAAGTTGTAAACATTCATCATCACCTAGGAAGGAAAAACCATTTTTCACAAGTTTAGAGGCTGAGATCAAATTTCTTCTCATCTTTGGAACATAAAGCACATCATTCAATTGCAAAATAAACCTAGAATTTAGTTTTAACCAATTGTTCCAACAACTTTAACTGTAACATTTGTCCCTTCCCCCACAAAACATTAAAATAGTTAAAACTAGCATCCTTTTGTTTTTCAAAACCATGCAGTGAATTATTTATGTGAATTGTGCCGTCAGTATCAAACCACCATAAGTTAAAAGGAATCTCAATTAAGTTCGACTCTACACATACATTAACTATTTATTTCCCATTAGCTTTCAAATAGTCCTTAAATAATTCACAATCTTTTCTTAAATGACCTCGAGTTTTGCAAGAAAAAAAAACATTAAGCTTAACTTTAGGTTTAAGATTGTTAAACCCTTTGGAAGATTCAAATATTTTAGCAGAAATACCAATCTTATCAGAATTCCTAGAGTTCTTGAAGTTCTTACCTGAATTATTTCCAGCATGGTATGATTTCTTCCCTTTTCCTCCTTGCACAAAGTTCCTGCCTTTTTGCCTTTTTATTGCCTTTGGCAAGTCTCTTCTTGAACACACTGTGCAATTAACTCATCTACATCCTAACTCTTGTCTTGTGTATTATAAGACACCTCTAGTTGAGAGTACTTGAATGGGAGAGCTTGAAGAATCATGAAAACCAACTGCTTTTCTCCAATGCTAACATCCATTGAATTCAACTTCTTTGCAGCGTCAATCATTTTCATACTATGGTCCATGATTGAACCAGAATTATCAATTTTGTAAGTTGTTAGCAGTGACATATATTGGTTGATCTTTGCTTTCTATGCCTCTTTGAATTTTTTCTCAATAGCCTTCAAGTAATTAGTTGCTAAATCATGCTTCTTAATGCCTCCACGAACTGTATCAGTCATACCACTCTCCAGGATAGAAAGTGCCACTTTGTCAGCTCTTGTCCACCTTCCATGATCAGTCTTCTCAGCTCTAGTACTCTGATATGTGATCATTGGTCTTGGAGTATCAATGACAATGTCATACTCATTGATTGTCAATAATAATCCAATTTCTCTCCTCCATTTTCTGTAGTTACTCCCTCCAATGATAATTGGGATATTTGCCAAGTTCAAAGTCTTCAAGGATATTGCAGACACTGCAGATGAAATCACAATCATGAACCAACTAGGTTCGTGATTTCCTTTTGCAGTTCGCATATCAAAACTTATATCAATGATTCATACATACAGACTTATCAACACATAGTTGACAATCATACATAGAATGACTGATTCATCGAGAACTTAGAAGATCACAATAAGATATGCTACAATAGTCAGTTCTCAAGTGTCTCATGCATGCTGCAGATGAGAATTTTGCAGGATATGAAGATAATAGTAATCTTAATTGCGAGTAGTTAGTCCTTTACAAAGAAACTTCAATCAATAATATCACATAATGTTAAATTTCCTTGAACTAATTTGGATCTTTTTTTTTTTTTTTTTTTTTTTTTATTTATTTTTTTTAACTTACGAACCACTCAATTTCAAGACTGAATTCATAGCATGTAGTCTAGGCTCTGATACCACATGTTAACATAAACATATTCCCATAAACATATAATATGAATCACAGAAGTTCAAACACAAAACCACGTTCATAAACCTTTGAACATATAACAAACACATTACCTGTAGATGAATTCGAAGAGCCTGCCATGACTTGTTTCTGCAGCAAACCAGAAGTGCACCTTCTTCTCTCTTCAGTAATGAGTTTGCTCGTTACTAATAATAGGTCTTATTTCAAAAGAATAGAGCACGGTAACTGTGAGAGCAAAGGTCACTTTATATATATATATATATATATATATATATATATATATATATATATATATGTATGTATATATATATGTATGTATGTATATCATAATCCTAGCCAAGTCCTACAAATGATTCCCCTATTAAAATCCATATAGACAACCAATTCAACACACAGTGTTTCAGCATGACATGGATTACAAATGCACTCCCAATAAGGACTTCATATTTAATCTTGAATCAAATAACTTAATTCACATATTCATACTCATACTCATGCTCATATTCCCCTATGTCTGTCTATATATATATATATATATATATATATATATATATATATATATATATATGTATGTATGTATGTATGTATGTATATATATATATATTGTGCGGTTCTCAGTTAAATAATTGGGCACAAGTATGTCACTTTATTTAGGTTTGCAGCAGTTGCTTCTGGCTTGTTACAGGACCTTACCTTGTATCAATCTGATCATCCCACTCCCCAAGTCCGAGAGCTCACTTGGTGCCTAAGATTGGATTTGATTTGGTAACACAGTAAATTCCAGCATGTTGAAGGACGGAAGAAACAAAGAAGTTTTGTCCAAGTTAAAAGGTAGAAGATGAAGTGCAGAGTGAAGAAAACATATCATTTTCGACCCCCCACAAAATGGTAGGATACCAACATCTCTTATAACTTATCCCTTCTAATCCCGTCCCCAGATGAAGAATCATTCACAACGACCTTCATTTCTTACTTCACCATATCTTAAAATAGCAAATTATCAAATCTAATTCTCCACATCAAATGAGAAGGTTTGACAAATTCACTTCAGGAGGAGGCACATGCACAAGTTTTTTTTTTCAAACCTCATAAATTCTTCGTGCACTCTCGTTTGTTTTGCTCATTGTCGTCGAGGATCATCAAATTTTTTTGTCCCGTCGAATTATTCGTCGCGATGAGAGGATCAAATAATCTCTATGTAGACACTAACTTGGTTCAAAAAACAAAATGTTTGAATTCGTCCAGCAATTCTACCCCTTTGTTGGGGTTTGTTTGGTTTGGAGGTCAATAGTTAACACAATCACTTCTGTAGGTAGGATTATCCAACAAGCAAATCAAAGATTATTGGGAAGAGACCATAACCACAAAGCAAAGTTGAGAGGATACTCCCCAAATTTAACCTGTATATTCTAGTAAAATCACTTCAAATACGAAATGATTTACATTTTCCGGCTTCAATTAAGTTCTTACATCCGAAAGACCGCTGGCAGCTGGGTGACAAGGTTTGAACATTTCCAAGTTAAAAATAACAAAACGATTAACTCCTCTAGCTGGCGTTTCATGCAAAACTTATAACTCATGCTGTTGCGGAATTGTAGCATCAGTCCCAGCCATACTTCCAGATGTTCAAAGGGCATGAGAAGGAAAAGAAAGAAGTCAAAACACGAAAAATCCGACTATTATCCCTAAAAAAATGGTAATTCGAACATCAAAATCATGAGAGGTAAATAAACATAAGACTATAATACCGGAGTGATGACATCATTCCATTCTGCAGTTTCGGAATGAATCCCATGAGATTCATAAGTGGATTGTGGGCGAGATTCTTCTAAAGGTGTAGGATCAGGGTGATTAAACAAGCAGCTGTTTTCATACCTGCAAGTGCCAGTTTGCATATAGTGCAAACAATCTGCCATCCCCTGTAATACGTTAAAATAATTATTCAGCGAATACATGGACACTTGATAGTAGCTCCAACAGACTAAGAAAATAGCAAAGACAAAATCTTAGATATTCATTCCTCATATTTTTGCAGATAAAACCGAGAGTTTATACCGGACGAATTGGCAGGCCCAAAAAGTTAAGTTCCAGAGCTGGAGCTACAGAGGGTTCCCCTTTACATTGTCCTGGGCAATACTGCAACAAGCTCAAGTGTTATATAAACATCATGAAACTGTTACTAGGCCGCCATGCACATTGCACAGATTTGAATAGTAGGGTACAAAGGGAAAGAAATGTCATTCACAATTTAAAAATTAATTGTAATCCTGTATAAAAAGGAATATGTGATTGTAATGTAACACCATAAAATTGTCATGAAAACACATTGACTATAAGTTGATCACGTTCAAGACCCTCATCGTTCTATAGTCAGCTACAAGATAAAAGGTTTAAGATACGTCGCCTATGAGTTGATCATGTTCAGTTGTGCATGCTAACCTACTAGCTTTCAGATAAACCATATGAGAAGCCCCATCGTCACTCAAAACAGAAAGAGTTAAGATACTACGTGAGACCAAATATGCAAAGTAAAAGAAAACTTAAGGATGTAAGGCATGAAAACCAAGCAATTGAAGTTCAAAACCAGAACTTCGGACAGATAATAATCTTGCTTCCGGTCTGGTCTTGCTTCTCTGTCAACTCTTCACTCTGCTTTGCCTTGTCCGTAGACACCATCTAAACAAATATAATATAGTTGAAAACACCAAGAAACACAAAGTGAGCACCAACAACACAAATCTTTCATCCAGTCATACAAGGCCCGATGCATTAATGTTCCAAACACTAAATGCAGGTCCAAAGTCACCATTTTTCAGTTAATCCAAAGTACCAATATTCACGTACAAATTTCACCACAGAGATGCATGTGAAAGAAAAACATCAGCTCTAACAAATATGACTAGTGCTTCATTTCGAGTAAATTCCACTGACAAAGATCATCATCACGGCATAATAAATTAACCGATTAACACATTCTTTACACTATAACACATGCATACATGCATTTTTCTGCTAAAGCATCAAACAAAGAGAGATAAACACGAAAAGTCTCAATCTTTCAACCATAAACATGCATATGCAAATGCTAAGTACAAAAAGTTAAGACACTACTTGAAACCAAATATGCAAAGTAAAATAAACTTAATGATGTAAACATGAAAACCAAGCAATTGCAGTAAAAAGTTCAAAACCAGAACTTCGGATAGATAATAACCTTGTTTTTGGTCTGGCCTTGCTTCTCTGCCAACTCTCCCCTTTGCTTTGCCTTGTCCTTAGACACCTTCTAAACAATATGATAAAGTTGAAAACACCCAGAAACACAAAGTGAGCACCAACAACACAAATACTTCATCCAGTCATACAAGGCCAGATGCATTAATGTTTCAAAAACTAAATGCAGGTCCAAAGTTGCCATTTTTCAGTTAATCCGAAGTACCAATTTTCACGAACAAATTTCACCACAAAGATGCATGTGAAACAAAAACATCATCTCTAACAAATATGACAGTTGCTTCATTTCGAGTCAATTCCACTGACAAAGATCATCATCACGGCATAATAAACTAACCAATTAACACATTCTTTACACTATAACACATGCATACATGCATTTTTCAGCTAAAGCACGAAACAAAGAGAGCTAAACACGAAAAGTCTCAATCCTTCAACCATAAACATACTTATGCAAATGCTAAATACAAAAAGTTAAGATACTACTTGAAACCAAATATGCAAAGTAAAACAAACTTAATGATGTAAACATGAAAACCAAGCAATTGCAGTAAAAAGTTCAAAACCAGAACTTCGGATAGATAATAACCTTGTTTTTGGTCTGGCCTTGCTTCTCTGCCAACTCTCCCCTCTGCTTTGCCTCGTCCTTAGACACCTTCTTCTAATAAATATGATAAAGTTCAAAACAGCAAGAAACACAAAGTGAGCACCAACAATACAAATATTTCCTACAATCATACAAGGCCATATGCATTAATGTCTAAAACGTTAAATGCAGACCCAAAGTACTGATTTTTCAAGTACAAATTTCACCACAAAGATGCATGTGAAAGAAAATGTCATCTCTAACCAATATGATAAGTGCCTCCATTTCAATTTTTTGAGTCAATTGCACTGACAAAGATCATCAACACAGCGTAATAAACAAACCAATCAACACATTCTTTACACTATAACACATGCATACATGCATTTCTCAGCTAAAGACTGAAAAATTGAGAGTTGAGGCCGGGAAAACACTAAAAATCTCAATCTTTCAACCACAAACATAGATATGCAAATGCTAAATACAAAAAGTTAAGAAACCACTTGAAACAAAATAGGCGAAGTAAAACGATCTTAATGATGTAAAACATGAACACCAAACAGTTGCAGTTAAAAGTTCAAAACCAGAACTTCGGATAGATAATTACCTTGCTTTCAGTCTGGTCTTGCTTCTCTGCCAACTCTTCCCTTTGCTTTGCCTTGTCCTTAGACACCTTCATCTAATAAATATGATAAAGTTCAAAATGCCAAGAAACGCAAAATGAGCACTGAAAACACAAATATTTCATGCAATCATAGAAGGCCATAAGCATTAATGTCTCAAACACTAAATGCAGGCCCAAAGTCCCCATTTTTTTTTTTAATCCAAGGTCCGAAGTTTTCATGTACAAATTTCACCAAGCATGTGAAAGGAAAAAAAATCATCTCTTAACAAATATGATATGTGCCTCCATTTCGAGCCAATTCCGCTAACAAAAATCATCATCGCGGCATAACAAACTAACGATTAACACATTCTTTAATTACACTATAGCACATGCATACATGCATTTCTCAGCTGAGACAATGAGAATTGAAGCCCAGAAAACACGGAAAGTCTCAATCATTCAACCATAAACATACATACGGTTAAATACAAAAATTTAAGATACAACTTGAAACCAAATATGCAAAGTAAAACTAACTTAATGATGTTAAACATGAAAACCAAGTAGTTGCAGTAAAAAACCAGAACATCAGATAGATAAGAACCTTGCTTTCGGTCTGGTCTTGCCTCTCTGCCAACTCTTCCTTCTGCTTTGCCTTGTCCTTGGACAGCTTCTTCTAATAAATATGATAAAGTTCAAAACACAAAGAAACACAAAGTGAGCACCAACAACACAAATATTTCCTGCAATCATACAAGGCCAGATGCATTAATTTCGCAAACGCTAAATGCAGGCCCAAAGTCCCCATTTTTTTTGTTAATCCAAAGTCCCGAATTTTCAAGTACAAATTTCACGACAAAGATGCATGTAAAAGAAAAACTTCATCTCTAACAAAAAATAGTGCCTCCATTTTGAGTCAATTTCGCTGACAAAGATCATCATCACGGCATAATAGACTAACTGATCAACACATTCTTTACACTATAACACATGCATACATGCACTTTTCAGCTAAAGCATGAAACAAAGAGAGCTACACACGAAAAGTCTCAATCTTTCAACCATAAACATACATATGCAAATGCTAAATACAAAAAGTTAAGATACTACTTGAAACAAAATATGCGAAGTAAAACAAACTCAATGATGTAGAACATGAAAACCAAGCAGTTGCAGTAAAAAGTTCAAAACCAGAACTTTGGATAGATAATGACCTTGCTTTCGGTCTGGTCTTGCTTCTCTGCCAACTCTTCCGTCTGCTTTGCCTTGTCCTTAGACACCTTCGTCCAAAAAATATGATAAAGTTCAAAATACCAAGAAACACAAAATGCGCACCAAAAACACAAATAATTTATGCAATCATAGAAGGCCATAAGCATTAATGTCTCAAACGCTAAATGCAGGCCCAAAGTCCCGATTCTTTTTGTTAATCCAAAGTCCAAATTTTTCATGTACAAATTTCACCAAAAAAGTTGCATGTGAATAAAAAACATCATCTCTACAAATATGATATGTGCCTCCATTTTGAGTCAATTCCTGCTGACAAATATCATCAATCGGTGCATAATAAACCAACCAATTAACACATTCTTTACACTATAACACATGCATTCATGCATTCCTCAGCTAAAACAATGAGAGCTGAGGGCGGGAAAACACGAATAAGTCTCAATCTTTCAACCATAAACATACATATGCAAGTGCTAAATGCACAAAGTTAAGATACTACTTGAAACCATATAAGTAAAGTAAAACTAACTTAATGATGTTAAACATGAAAACCAAGCAGTTGCAGTAAAAAAGAACTTCGGATAGATAATAACCTTGATTTCGGTCTGGTCTTGCTTCTCTGCAAACTCTTCCCTCTGCTTTGCTTTCTCCTTAGACACCTTCTATTAAATAGATAAAGTTCAAAACACCAAGAAACACAAGGGGAGCATCAACAAAATAAATATTTCGCGCAATCATAAAGGCCAAATGTATTAAATCTCAAATACTAAATCGTGGCCCAAAGTCCAAATTTTTTTGTTATTCCAAAGTCCCAAATTTTCACATACAATTTTCACCAAAAAGATGCATATGAAATTATGAATGAAAACATCATCTCTAACAAATATGACATGTGCCTCCATTTCAAGTCAATTCTGCTGACAAAGATCATGATCGCAGCTTAATAAACTAACCGGTTATAACATTCTTTACACCATAACACATGCATACATGCATTTCTCAGTTGAAACAATGAGAGCTGAAGTTGGGAAAACAAGAAAAGTCTCAATCTTTCAACAATAAACATACATATGAAAATGCTAAATACAAAAAGTTAAGATACTACTTGAAATCATATATGCAAAGTAAAACAAACTTAATGATGCAAAACATTAAAAGCAGTTGCATTGAAAACCAGAACTATGGATAGATAATAACCTTGCTTTCGGTCTGGTCTTGCTTCACTGACAACTCTTCCCTCTGCTTTGCCTTGTCCTTTGACACCTTCTTCTAATAAATTAGATAAAGTTCAAAACACCAAGAAACACAAAGTGAGCATCAACAACACAAATATTTCCTGCAATCATAATAGGCCGGATGCATTAATGTCTCAAACACTAAATGCGGGCTCAAAGTCTCAATTTTTTTTGTTTATCAAAAATCCCAATCTTTTCACGTACAAACTTCACCATGAAGATGCATGGGAAAGAGAAATATCATCTCCAAAAAATATGATATGCGCCTCCATTTTGAGTCAATGCCGCTGGAAAAATCATCATCGTGGCATAATAAACGAACCGATTAACACATTCTTTTCGCTATAACAGATGCGTACATGCATTTCTTAGCTGAACCAATCAGAGCTGAGGCTGGGTAAACACGAATAGTCTCAATCTTTCAACCATAAACATACATATGCAAATGCTAAATACAAAATGTTAAGATAGTACATGAAACCAAATACGCAAAGTAAAACAATCTTAATGATGTAAAGCAGGAAAACCAAGTAGTTGCAGCAAAAAGTTAAAAACCAGAACTTCGGATTGATATTAACCTTGCTTTCGGTCTGGACTTGCTTCTCCACCAACTCTTCCCGCTGCTTTGCCTTGTCCTTAGACACCTCCTGATAAATATGATAAAACACCAAGAAACACAAAGTGAGCACAAAAAAAAATACAAATATTTCCTGCAATCATACAAGGCCATATGCATTAAAGTCTCAAACGCTAAATGCATACCCAAAGTCCCCATTTTTTTTTGTTAATTCAAAGTCCCCATTTTTAACGTACAAATTTCAGAACAAATATGCACATGAAAGAAAACATCACCTCTAACAAATATGATATGTGCCTACATTTCAAGTCAATTCTGCTAACAAAGATCATCATCGCAGCATATTAAACGAACTGACTATAACATATGCATGCATTCATTTCTCAACTGAAACAATGAAAGCTAAGGCCGGGAAAACACGGAAAGTCTCAATCTTCCAACCATAAATATGCATATGCAAATGCTAAATAGAAAAAGTTAAGATACTACTTGAAACCAAATATGCAGAGTAAAAACAAACATAATGACAGAAAACATGAAAACCAAGCAATTTGCTGTCAAATCATAACCTCAAATAGATAATAACCTTGCTTTCAGTCTGGTCTTGCTTTTCTGCCAACTCTTCCCTCGGCTTTGCCTTGTCCTTAGACACCTTCAACACAAAGTCACCAACAAACATTTCCTGCTATCATACAAGGCCAGATGCATTAACGTTTCAAACACTAAATGCAGGCCCAAAGTCCCAATTTTTTTTGTTAATCCAAAGTCCTGATGTTTCGCGGACAAATTTCACCATAAAGATGCATGTGAAAGAAAAACTTCATCTCTAACAATTCTGATAAATGCCTCCATTTCGAGTCAACGGCAGCACAATAAACTAACCAATTAACATATACTTTACACTATAACATATGCATGCATGCATTTCTCAGCTGAAACAATGAGAGCTGGGGCCTAGAAAACATGAAATGTCTGTATTCAACCATAAACACACATGCAAATGCTATATACAAAAAGTGAAGATACTATTTGAGACCAAATATGCAAAGCAAAACAAACTTAATGATGTAAAACATGAAAACCAAGCACTTGCTGTGAAAACCAGAACTTCGGAATTCGGATAGATAATAACCTTGCTTTCGGTCTGGTCTTGCTTCTCTGCCAACTCTTCCCCCTGCATTGCCTTGTCCTCGGACACCTTCATCTAATAAATATGATATAGTTCAAAACACCAAGAAACACAAAGTGAGCACCAACAACACAAATACTTAATGCAATCATACAAGGCCAGATGCATTACTGTCTCAAACACTAAATGCAGGCCCAAGGTCCCCATTTTTCACGTACAAATTTCACTACAAAGATGCATGTGAAAGAAAATCTTCATCTTTAACAAATATGATGTGTCTCCATTTCGAGTCAATCCCGCTGACAAACATCATCGTCACGGCATAATAAACTAACCGATTAACACATTCTTTATACTATAACACATGCATACATGCATTTCTCAGCTCAAACAATGAGAGGTGAGGCCGGAAAACACGAAAAGCCTCAATCTTTCAACCCTAAACATACATATGCAATTGCTAAATGCGAAAGACGAGTGATATACCAGCCTTTTTTTCCTTCTCCGAGAGCGCTTACTTGTGCTACTCTGCTCAACAACCTCCTTCACCACCTCACCACCGTTCTCATTCCCTCCTCCCCCGCTGCCGCTTTCGCTCTTTTCGCTCTCTCTCTCCTTCTCAGTTTCCTCTTGAGTCTCTCTCTCCTTGCCTTCTTCTTTTTCCTCCTTTTCCTTCAACCTCAATTCCCGACTCTTCCGAATCTCATCGAGGAAGGCAGGGTCGGGATTCCTAATCCATTCGATCACGGCGGGATCGAGTGTCCGAATCAAATCAACTATTTCAGGATCGAGATCGGACGGCGCAGGAGACGGAATAGACTGTGGATGACCACCTTGATCATCGACGGGGTTGTTGTTAATGGGATTTATGGGAACGGCGACGCCTTCAAGGAGTTCCGATTGCAGTCCGGATCGATAGTACCTATAAATTTCGACCAACTCTGTAAATGACACCGGTTGCTGAACACCCGTTGGCAACATTGGTAGTTTTTGTGCTGGCGGGGACGGCGGCTGAAACTGTGTTGCTGGGTTTGCTCTGAACCTGCAACTAGCAGCTACATTATCATTACGGATTAAATTGAGTTTTAGTTGGTTGATTAATTGTAGAAACTGGGTTTTGACTGGTTAAATCACAGTCGTCGGCTTTTTCTAGCAGAGGCATGTTTGGATTGCTTTTCGATTCCAAACCTACTGTGGAAAAGCGGATACTCATGTACTTGGATGCGTTGGCTACAGTGTCTATACGGTCCTAAACAACTCATACTTCGATACGACGGAATTATGAACGGACAAAGCTTTGAGCTACTTCACAACTTTCAAAATGTATCAAAATCCCAACTGAATCATAAACCAATAAACTTTGAGCTATTTTATAACTCTCAAAATATTTCAAAATTTCAACTGAATACACCGCTTACTCTATCATTTTGATTATCCTAGGTTTTTATTTTGGGGCAAAATTTGACTAATATGACCTCAATGGACGTATTCATTAACTTATATGGCCTGAGTTCACCATTAACTTCACAGGTCCCCTCTGGTGGTGCTGTGACCTACAAACATGTTATTTTGTACTATGGGATCGTCTTTTTCGCTGGTGTTTTATATGCAAGTTTAATCAATGTTACATGAAACAGACAACGCAAATGCCGCAACAAGTTCGATACACAACAGAGGATGCCAGCAGAAATTCATGGAGTGACATCAACAACCAAGCCATTTGAAGATGCTCGGGGAATGGGCAACGACGACGAAATTGAAAGGATATTCCCCGACTAAACTTGTATTTTCCGGTGAAGTGACATGGATAAGAAATCATTTACACGTTTCATTCACAACTAAAAAGTTCGTGTCATCCGCGTGAAAAGGTTTGATACATTTCTAAGATTAAATTTACCGAAAGAGAGATTACACATGTCCTCGGTGATGCGAATCCTGTGCTCTAGGAAAGCATTCATGCATAACTTATTGCACGGGCTGCGGCTGACTTGAACCATCAGTTCCACGTCTGCTCCCAGCTATTCCCACCCCATTAGTAGTCGCCCAGTCACCGAAAGGAAGTTGATGATCAGGACCAGATGTAGTTGAAGATGATATACGTGTCGGGTGGTCAAATTTACAAGCTGGCCCAAATTTGCAAATGCCAAAGCGACTGTAATGTGTGCAAATGTTCTGATCCTGGATTTTGAAACAAATTTTGTGTGATCAATGACATGCAATCATGTAACATGTAATCAAACAGAGGCCCTCATCATCGAGGGAAGGCGAGACAACAATTAGTCAATAATCTTTATGATTCAGGAACAAAGTGAAAAAAAACCCTTTCTAAGGTCATATTCCGAAATCAGGAACTCATTACCAAACACGGTCAAAAGAAGAGCTTACTGGTCTCAACGGTAGGCCTTTGTCACTGAGTTCAGTGAATAGGGGGGCTACGGCGGTCTGAGTTTTTGGATGGTGATATTTGCAATTAGATTTAAACTTGCAATCTCCCGTTCTTAAGAAATAACTGCAATCAGGTTGGCCAGGTCTTTCTGGGAACTCTTCAACTTGATTCTGGTGTGGATAGTGTTTGTAGACGTTGGTTTCAGTCACTGAGTTGTTCATCATATATAGTGGACGTGCAGGCATGCTCCTTTCTGGTACATATGCTGGAGCCTAAAGGTGCAAACAGAAAAACAATTAGCATGACAATTAATATTAGGGATATCAGAAACTAATACGGATGCCAATTAACAAGCTTCGTACGCAGCAATATCAACTAAACAAATTACTACAACTATTGCAGACAGCAATTTGTCAAACTATTTGGAACTTTAAGTCCTGATCATAGGATAAAATTCATAGCATCTGTGCATGAGCAAATTATTAGTTGGGTTTTTATGACAAATGGTCCCTGAAATTGATCCATCCTATCAAGATGGTCCCTGAAATTGAAAATCAATCAATGTAGTCCCTGAAATTGGGATGTCTCAAATCAATGTGGTCTTTCCGCCTAAATTCCTTTAAAAATTATGTTATGTGTTGATGTGACACATAACTGGGTCCCACAAATCTAATTAAATATTAGCATGTGAATATAAAAATATTTAAATAATAGAAAACAAGTTTTAGTTTTATATAATTAAAAAATTTTAAATGAAAAAGAAAAAAGAAGAAAAAGATGAACAATTCTTCTTCTTCCCGTCCCACTCGAGCAATCACTACAGTCCCACCCCACCCCACCCCACTCTGTCCTGTCGCACATGTAACCGCAGTGGACAATATCCTTGCAGGTGCCAGTGTGGTCGAGCTGGAACCGGGTCCGGGTCTAGTCGGGCTAGGTCGAGTCCACGTCCTGGAGTGATTGGAGAATGGATTTCAGGAAGGCGACAAGGAGGTGCGAATCGTCGTCACTTTCTGAGTCGGAGTCTGAAACGAACTAAAGTATAAGAAGCCATTCTTATATTGCGATAAGATTCTGCTTGTTCATCAAATGATTGGCCAATCCAACAGGCAAAGCTCTTCGCAGATCTTCGAGTCAAAAAAAAACATAAACAGAAAGATAGAACGAAGAAGGAAAAACAGTCTTGGAAAACTTGGGATTCCATAAACTACCCAATCCCATACCAGCGAACGCCTCAAAACCAAGCCAATTTGAAGCCACACAATTCAACACGATTAGAAATTATAGAAAATTAAATAAATAAATAATATTTTTCCATTTCAATCGAATCCAGCACGAACAACAAGCCAGAAAGCTACAAGCTTGAAGCTTGAATCCCAATTTATTCATTTACTTCATCATCTTCTTCTTTTTTTCTTTTTCATTTTTAAATTTTTAATTATATAACACTAAAAACTTGTTTTCTATTAGTTAAATATTTTTATATTATTTAATTAGATTGGTGGGACCCAATTATGTGCCACATCAGCACATAACAGAATTTTTAACGGAATTGTGACGGAAGGACCACATTGATTTGAGACGCCCAAATAAAGGGACTACATTGATCGATTTTCAATTTCAGGAACCATTTGAGATAAAAACCCTTATTAGATTTATGAGCCAAAAATGAATAAAAAGCATGGCCAAAAAGTATAAGCAAGTTAAACATACAAAAAGATCTTGATCTCTTATCCCTCATAAACTGTTAACTAGTATACCAAAGTGATCACAGTTATTCAAACATGAGACTGTAAAAAAGGAGTGCTAAGTAAAAGTACCGGATAACCATTCCATTCTGAATTTTGAGAAGAAATCCCTTGAGGTGGTGGAATCATCATTGGTGTGTAAATTGGAGCCTCATTCAATGGCCGTGGTGCAGACCACGGTGCCACTGTTGATTGTGATGCAATTTGTAACAATGCAGGACCATCTTTGCCAAATCCAGATGGGGGCTCAGATCCTCCTATAGCTGTAGGATCAGGGTGGTTAAACCTGCAGTTTGATGCATACTTGCAGGAGCCATTTCGCATGTAGTAGGGACACTCTCTCTCACCCTGTAATAAGTAAACATAAATATTCACAGAAACTGACCAAGACATGATAATAGCTTTATAAAACCAAAAATAAAAAATAAAAAGCTAAGACAAAACCTTGAAAATGGTGATTACATATTAATTTCTCAAAACTTAGAAATTTAGGTATAAAGTGTATACCGGTCGAATTGGCAGGCCCAAAAAATTAAGCTCAAGAACTGGAGCTACAGAAGGTTTCAATTTGCTGTGGCTGTATCTGCAATCTGTCCCATACTTGCATCCCCCTGACCTCAAGTAATACTGCAACAAGCTCAAGTGTTGTAACATCATGAAACTGTTACCAGTCCACCACCATACACATTGCAGATATTTGAATATAAGGCACAAAGGGAAGAACTGTTACTGACATCTGAAAGCATATTTGTAATTACTTTATAAACGAAATAAGAGAACGTCGTGAAAAAAGCATACAATTTGATGAAAACCCATCCGGTGGAGATTTGCTGACTAGTTACCAACTTGCTATAGTTTGATCAAAACAGATCACTTGCCTCCCCATACGATATAGGCAAATAAAGTTCAAGATTTCAGGATTCTGTACTAGTTACAAGATAGAAGATTTTAGCTTTTTTATTCGGTTATGCATACCAACCTAATATTTTAGACAAACGGACTCAGAAAAAAACCCATCATCATAACAATGACCACTAGGATAACAAATACACGAACTAAAACATAATATACTGATTTGTGACATTTTGATCAAATAATTTCAGTAAAAACCATAACTTCAATTATAAAAATTTCAGAGAATCACAACAATAATAACCTTGCATTCCGTCTGGCTTGGATTCTCTGCCAACTCATCCTTATCCTTGACCCTTTCCCTAGGCACCTTCAATATGAACAAATCAAAACACCAGTAAACCGAAAGTGAGAACCAATAGCAGAAATGTTCTAATCATACAGTCTAAGCCACTCAGAGTTCGCCATCACCATTCTTTAACGCAAAATCTCATTGAAAATGTATGTAAACAAAAAGAACACCATTTTCAGCTACAGCCGTACAAATGCAAACACATAAATGGCTTTGCTGCAGAATTTCAGCTGAAACTAACAGAGGCTGGGCAAATATAAACAAAAAAATCCAATCTTTCAACTGAATAATCGAAAGAAAAGAGGTATACCTGGTTGGTTTTCCTACTAACAGGGTGATTAAACTTGCAATTGGATCCAAATTTGCAAGACCCGGTCTTTAGATAATACGAACAGTCTTCAGCTTCCGGCCTCACCGGGTACTGATATCTTCTGTTACTTTCCTGAGTTTCCTCCGCCTTCTTCTCCTCCACCTCACCTCCATCCTCCTCCCACCCCTGATTTCCTCCCCATCCTTCTCCTCCGCCTCCTCCGTCGCTATGACAACTCTGCTCACTCTGCCTCTCATTTTCCTCTCCGTTTAAAATCTCAACCTCTCTCTCACCGGAACTCTTCTCTTCTTCTTCCACTCCCTCCCCGCCCTCCTCCTCCTTCAAATCCAGCTTCTGCAACTCACCAGCTCCGTCCTCCTCCTCCTTCAAATCCACCTTCTGCAACTCACCAACTCCGTCCTCCTCCACCTTCTCTGTCGAATCCAGCTTCTGCAACTCATCAGGTTCTCCATCCCCCTCCTCCACCGGCTCTTTCAAATCCAGTTTCTGAAGCTCATCGAGGACCGCATGATCTAGATCAGATGGTGTGGGATCGGGATCCGGGGAGGAAGGCAGAGACCCCTGGTCGGAATGAGTGTGGTTGGTGCAGGGGTTTTCGGGATTTGGGGGAACAACAGAGGTTGCTTCAGAGAGTTCCATTCTCCCTCCACATTTCAAAACCCTAAATTTTTCAGATATGAAAATGAACTGACTATCTTTGACCGAGAGGAACGTAAAAATGGAGTTGGTCCGTTGGTGCGTGAAAAACGCTTTTGGAGGATTTTTTTTTTTCTTTCTTTTTTTAATAAGTTTTTAATGTGCATACAGAATAATTGACGTCATCTAGTGTATAATTTTACGTATTATAATAATAATGAATAATATGATTGATTATTTTTATTTGAGAGAAATTTACACGATATTGGCATATATTGGTATTGTGGCTTCTTGTGCCAATATACAAAGATGTGCGTAAGTTTTTTTTACTTAGTATTGTATTATCAGCACAGTTGTCAAAATGTCAATATACTCATGTCATATAAATTAGCACAATATGACTTGGTGGTGTATAACTGATATCTTATTTGTGTTATGTGATTTGATCCATAATTTTAAGTATTCAACTAACTAAGTACATGATTAAAAAACGAAAAACAGACAATTTTCACTTGTAGAAAAGGCCTTGTTATGCAAATAAAGAAAATAATACACATATTATAATATAAATAAAATAGAAAATTCTACAGCATGTATTTCTCTTATGTTAATACTATACTAGCATATGAGCACACACAAAGTATGTGAGAATTTATTTTTTATTTTTTTTATTTTTTAGAGATATGTCAGGATTACATGTAAGTGATGCTTTGAAAAAAAAATAGCAAAATTTGGTTTTGTGAAATTACATTTCTGCCCCATATTTCTTATTCATATTCTGTTTTAATTAGAGAGTTAAACTGGTAATTTCATAGAATTTTGATTAACAATGAATGTTTTATTAATTAGTAAAGATGTAACTGTATTCTGAATACACCGACAAAATTTTTAATATAAAGGGTTTTTTGTTGGTGGGTGGGAACACCCAAATGCAATGAATGGTACGTTATTGTTTAAGGTGTGTGAGAGTGTACAATACATTAAGTAATACGTTTTTTTTTCTTTTTTTTTAATTTTAATTTTTGGCTTTTTGTTCATATGCTGGCCGACCTGACATGTTGTTTATCAGGGGATTAGACTGTTATCCACGGTAAACGTCTCGTTATCAATAGATGATTCAATATCACACGTCGCATAAGATAAGATTCTTCAATTGACATGAAATGAAATGATCTGTTTTGGTTTGTCCTACACAGACAATTTATGAAAAGATTTTTTCCACCCGCCAACTGCAATCGTGTGCGGGTGATCAATTGATGTTCGTATATGCATTGTAAAGAACGTACTTACATTTAGATCAACGATCAGTCAATCGTGTAAATGAGTACGGCTGAACAAAATTGTTGACCGTAGATGCACCGTTGAGTCCACTTAGATCTACAATCAGTAATCGATCATACACCCACCTACGACTGAAAGAAGGGAAACAAAGCAGCTGAACTACTAGTACAGAGTAGCATGCATGTTATATCCACGAACCGTGGATCGGTCTAACAAGGAATCATGAAATGTACCATGATTTATATCTAGTAGTCTAACAACGTAACATGGAATTGCACCAGAAGTCTAACAACGTAACATGTCATGTTCGATTATTCGGAAATACATGGGCAGTAACTGCAAAGAAGCAAGTCTAACAAGATCCAAATGAATGACATTAGCATTTGAAAATTCAACTAAAACAGGATTAGCATGTGACCCTCTTCAGAGAAGATGTGCTTAATCTCCAAGCGTCTTTGTTGAAGCAAATGGATGGGCCAAATGAAGGCCCAAGGGAAATCAGAATCAATGGTTACTCTGAATTGCAATTACACTGGAAACCCTAGCCCTATCCTTCTCTCCTACCAACCCTAATTTGTCAATAGAAACAACAGATTCACTAGTCAAGTTACATCATTACATCTGTTTTCCATCATCAAGTCACTTCTTACTCTTCTTCGCCGAATGCCCGGTCTTGCGCTTATGACGGCTGAAATCTGACACAAATCGGAAGGTCTGTGCACACCCTGGTTCAGCGCATACATAGGGACGAGCACCTGTGTGAACTCTAATGTGCTCAGTGCGAGACCATGCCCACTTGAATGTCATTTTGCAACCCTTCCAAGGACACCGAAGGGGACGATCATCTGTGTGAACTCGGCGATGTTGCACCAGATACTTGTGCGAGAAGAATTTCTTTCCGCACCCCTTGACTGGACATATGTTTCTTTTGTGGAGGGAAAGCTCATGCCTCGAGGCAAAACTCATGGTACACCCCTCAAGATCACACACGAATTCTCCATCCTCTTCCCTCTTTGTTTCATTTCGGCCAGCCTGAGTCTTCCCTGCTGAAGCATTCTTTGCCTTTTTCCTAGCGGTTTGTTGCTGCTCTTTTGATTTGGTTCCAGGGACTTTTGAGGGCTTAGGAGCTCTTTTTCTAAGGCGCGTGCTAGGCCCACCTTCTGTCTCATCTTCAGCATATAAATCAAAGCTGTTCTGCTCAGACTGATTATTCTGCTCAGATTGATTATTTCGGAGCCTAGGTGTCTGCTTCTTCGTTTGCAGAGGGGTTTGTTGATTTCTCAGAGTGCGAGTGCCTTGTTTCAAAAGAGGAGCAGTTCCTTGTTTCACTTGGCGAGAGGTTTCTTGTCTCATTTTCCCACGGGTCTCTGGTTTGGTTTGCTTGTTTCGAAGATTTCTCTTATGCTGCTGAGAATTATCTTCCGGTGTTTCATCCAGAGAGGTATCTTCTCTCTCCATGAATCTGGCTCTGGCCTGCTTGCTTCTAGAAATGCTCCTTCGTTGCTGATGAGAACTAAACCCGCGAACATCCTCCGAAATCAAATTTTCTCTCCCAGTGCATTTAGTTGTCTTGCTTCTAAGGACCCTCCGCGGCTGATGAGAACTACCCTCAAACGAATCATCTGAAACCACATCTGTTTCCACTGGTTTGAATTGCTTACTTTTAGCAGTCCTCCTATGCTGCTGATGAGAATCAATTCCCACAGAATCATCTGAAACATCACTTCTCCCAATATACTCAACTTGCTCGCTGTGAAGAATCCTCCCATTTTGCTGATGAGAATCATCCTCTTGCATTGAATCATCTGAAAATGCATCATGTGTCTCAATACACTTGGCTTTCTTGGTTCGACCTCTCTCAATATATTTGGCTTGCTTGCTCTTAGGAAGCCTCCTTTGCTGCTGATGAGAGTTGTCATCTAATGAATAATCTGAAACTGCATCCTCTTTCTCAAAACATTTGGCTTTCTTGGCTGTCCGAGTATCTGCAGTCATTTTCCTCTTCCTAGCATACTTCTTAACTGTCTTCTCAGTTCTGCGTGTGATTTCTGATTTTACCTCATCATCCTCTTCTGGCATTGCCCAAGCACGGAAGGACCGCTCTTCTTCATCTTCTGCTACTTCTACTTCTTCCTCAGGATCCCTTTTTACTAGAAAAGAATGAACTTGATTCGACATCCATACTTTACCACACCATTTCCCTGCCACTACCTTTTTTGGCTTGCCACCTCTCCTCCCATAGACATCAATTCTTGTTGGTGAACTAGCAGGAGAGCTCCGGCCAAATGCTTTGTATATAACAGAATTGTATGGCATCTGCTTACTATAAAGATGAGAGCGGCTAAGGCTGGCACTGTAGAAGAGATTGATCCCCAACTTTACAGCCCAGTCCCCGTTCCCAGCAATGGCATCCTCGCTATCCAGAGCTAACTGAATCCTCGTCTCATCTTCCTTGGTGGCATTCATGAATGCCATATCATTCCAGAGATAACTTATTCCCAGCTCTTCTGCCATTGATTTGGCTTCCTCCTCTATCCTTGGGTAGTCTGCAAATGTTTTTATTGATAATCAGAGAGATGATTGGAGGACAAATGCTTCCCCATAGCCATAGCCATAAAAATGGTTGGCTACTTAAAAGTTTGAAATGTTCCAGACAAGTAAATAAAACAAGCCAGCCGAAGAACTTCTTGGTGTAAACAAGACTGTAAATAGCATGTATCTAAGTTTCCTTTCCATAGCAGTTCTATTTTTTTGTAAAACAAATTCCACCAAGCAAAGGAAATAGTATGGATTCATAGTGGCCGACATACGAATATGAAGTCAGTACCATCTTGACACATCAGTGATACAGTACTTAACAAAACCTTTTCGTTAGTGACTGATAAACTGATAACGGTATAAATTAGAAAAGTAACTCTACCCATCTCGTATATATTCGTGTTTAACGGAATTTGCTAAACAGGTCAAAGTGCACAGAATCGAGGTGAACAGTAAATAAAAGAAATAAGCGAAGAAAACTATTATTATACAAACTTTCTAGGGCAACAGCGCACCTGGATGACAAAGGAGCAAAATATGGACACCTCCAATTGAACGAAGCTGCTGCTGAACCTCTACAGCATGCTCAAGGCAGAAGACATGCATTCTAGAAGAGTCTTCATCGCATCCTGGATGACATGACGTGTTTGTTTTCTGTATTGGTACGATAGCCTTACCAAAACCTGTTGCTGTGGAAGCATAATTATTAGTTCCGAAATCAGCAGAGCTGTCAATGTCTTGATGGCTGGTATCCTTGAAATTTGCTATTTTACGTCCATCTGTAGCATGGTGATCAAAATTTTGGAGACAAAGTTCTTTCTCACAATCAGATCCTGCTGACGAGGGACTGTGAACCCCACTTGTACCACCATAAGGAAGACTAGCACTTTGGTCCCTATATCTACTTTCCAAAGAACAGTTTGTCACCTTCGGTTCATCAGAACAGACAGGAGCATCTATTTCAACCTGATCTTCCTCCAAGTCAGATGAATTTCCATAATTCAAAGCTAATAGACCAAGAGCTGAAGTCTCTCTCGGCATTTCAGTATTTGAAACCACTTCATTTCTTTTATCAACCACCTGGATTTGATAATTACCAGAGTGAACAGGCACATCATATAAACCATTAGGGGCATTGTTTTCCTCCAATCCTGTTTTTGACAAATAAACAAATTAACATTCAACACATAGAATTCTATTAAAAGGCAAAGTAGAACCATTATATATACAGAAAGACATCTCCAGAGGAGACAGAATAATATGCAGGTCAAGTGTATACAGGAACTCGAACAACACTGATTGTACTCAGATATAGATACAACATAACAAATATGGCTGCCTTAGTGTAATTCAACTTAAGAGTATAATAGTTGGTGCATCTTTCGAAGAGTTATGGGGGAAAGGATAAATAAGGGGTGCCTAGTTGTGTACAGTAACAAATGTAAGTTGGGCATTTCATCCCAGAGATTGCATAAACTATTGGAAAAGCCAGGCTTTACTCTTAACTGCGAATCAACACTAATTTTCAACTAACAGAAATTTATTGAAAACTACAACTTACGGATAAGCTTGCCTTAGTTCACATGGAACAGTAGGTACAATAAAAATGATTACTTAAGCGAATTGTGCCCTACTTTCAGGTCATATTTTAGACGATCAATAAAAGAAGAATATCCAAATGGAACCAACCTGTGCAAGGAGCATTATTTGAAGTAACTGGATCCCCAGTTACACCCGAGAACGCCTTACTACCCAATCCAGATCCAACAACCCAATCATTGAAAAAGCTACAATCTGCTGACATAAGATATCTGGCTGCTTCTTCTGTTGGTTGAATAATAGCAACACAAGCAAAGCTCAAAATTCCACATGTAACACAAGAAAACAGTCTCTGATCTGACAACCCCTCCCCTTCGACATGACTTTCTCTTTCACAGCTCAAGTTCGACCTCTTTAAATGCAGGCCGCATACATTGTTACATCCACTTAAAGAGTGAAGACTATTACTTTCACTTAGAGATGCAAGTTTTCCTCTCACGGAATAGAAACCTTTAACCTGCTGCCCTTCTATCATGAGACCATCAGAAACTGAACCTGAGGATTTCATTTCTTCCTTCAGATTGTATGAGCCCGGCGAAAAGCCAGGGTTTACTCTTGACTGTGAACCAACACGTAATTTTGAACAAACAGAAAGGTCTGAAGAACTTTGGGGTAGAAGGACAATTGGTGACCCCTTTCCAAGAACATGAAGCAGGTCATTATTCTGAATGACATCCTGTACAAATAACTCTTTAACTACTATGTCTCCTTCACCCTTTCTCTTATCTTTCAGTCGAGAACTCCGTGGTTCAGAACTTATGCGTGCAGGCATTCTGCAAGGAGAGCATTAGATAATTGAGGGATCTATACACTTAACCACCCGGTTTATCTTTTGAATCTACAACACATCTAAGTTCATTTAATAAATTATAATAACTTTGTGGCATGTTTTTCAACCAATTTATATTCTTAAACGTGCTTTTTCCTGAAATATAGAAATCCCTATTTTCAAACTCAATAAATTGGTCAACTAATGTGTGTGTGTGTGTGTGTGTGTGTCTGACTATATAATTATGTAATTAGGTAGAAGGGATGTCATAAAGGTCATGGACAAACCTTGAACACAATGCTAAAGCAAGATCATAAAGTAACTGAAAATGAGACACCATTGGTGGATAATTGATTGAAGCTCGTCGAATAGCAGCATCTTTTGCAACCCTCAACCACTCAGGAGTTGCAATGTTAGCTGCCTCCGCAAAATTAAATCCTACGTAAAATTTCAAACAAATGATACAGTTATCTTCATTTATATAAAAACAAAGACAAGAACAATGATTACTTAATTCTAATAAATTAAAGACTACTGCTCTCTCACCATGACTGAATCCAGTGTGATACGCTCTTGGGAAAGTCACAACAAAGTCCCCAGCATTTTGCACAAGCCTGATTAAAACAAATTAAAGATGTAAGAGATACATGGAAGCATTGACACCACAACACCGAGGTACTCTAGGAATGCTACAGGCGACTTCTACGAAGAACAACTTGGCAATTTGCATACATAACTTTCCAGGGAAGAAAAAATTCCTATTCTTATATCAAACAGCAAAGGTAAATATGAGCTGGCATAAATCAAACAGGTTCACGTTGATGATTCTTTCAAAAATTAAATCAAAGCATAACTGATAGCATCACTGGCATTAAAGGCAACAAGAGGACATTCAGAAGTAGACAGAACAACGATGAAAGAGTTACCTGCAGCATGGAACTCCTGAACTGACAAATACTTCAGGCGCCATCACAGTCGTCTTCTCGCCAAGGGTTGAAAAGGTAACTGATGGAAGACATATTCTAATAAGGGTTAGTCGCTCAAAGCGTATCCAAAACCAATCCAAGTCTACAATGACAAGTCACGGCTTTACATTGCAATTCTTAGCGTACAAAGAAAATGAAGTAAGAACAAACACTGCAAATTTGTAAAAAGGAATGCAAAACGAGGGCAGCACTGACTCTCAAAACTATGCATCAAATTTCAAAAAAATACTCAAAATCAACCACTCTTAGTTTTCTAGCAATCCTTAATTAATATCCTGATACTGTACTTGCAAGTCGAAAGGTCAGTTCAGGCATAACAGACCACCAACCCTAACTAAGAATGCACTCTCGTCGGCGTAAAAGTCATCCATTTTAACAAGTAATACTTCCCACTCTTTGCTTCCTAACAAAGGCAACTTAAATGAACAACATCCCATAGATTCAGCACCATTTCATAACAACATCAAACAAACAGTGTAATGAAAGTTTCAGAAAAAAGTTCAAACAAAACAAAACACAATTAGAAACAGAGGATCAGCCAGTTTCACAGTCCACTGTTTCAGTCCTGTAAATATTCAACATTGCCCTGAACTCACCAAGAGGATTGATCTCTCCCGCATAGCCCTGTACCCTAACAACCTCCTCGAATGCAACCGCAGCGTCCCTCGGCACACCATACCACGTCTTCCCTGCTCCCATATGCAGATAATTCAAGCTGTGCAAATCATGGTCCTCCACATGCCAAGCAAACCAGCTGAACAACATAGCTATATACACCATCGGCGAAGTAACCCCCGGAATCTCCTCCTTCATAAACCTCAATAACGACCCTTTTGACCTCGACACCCCCCTCATATTCCAAGCAGTATCACCAAGAGTCACATTGTCCCCTGCATCTTTACTAGTACTACTACTTTTCCTCGCACTCACTGGCACAAAAGCTGAACCGGGCATGTCATTCGCATACTCCACCGAAAAGGGTTTATCCACAGTCGCCTTCCAGTAAAGGGTTTCAATTTCCAGCGGCGAAAGCCCTCCCTTCTTGCTACATTTTCTCAAGTAACTCTTCTCAAAGCTCTTAGCCTTCGCTTCAAATTCCTGGAAAGTGTAGTGCTCGCCACTCTGCCACACGGGTCGGTGCACGGGCCGTGGCCTCCGAGGGCAGAACCCGATCTGCTGCTGCCGGGTAGTGAATGTGGGCTGGGATTTCGGGCCCGAAGACCCCAAAACCCCCGCCCGAGCAGCCAGTGACCGGTTCAAGTTCCCAATTGTGGTCTTCTTTGAGGAAGGCGGCACCGGCGGCACGATTTTGCAGATTCCGTACTGGGAAGCCTCCTTCTCGATTTTAAAAATGTAGGCAATCGGATCTTGGAACTCCGCCCAAGTGGGGTGGTACTCGGGAGCTACGGGTAGGGTTTTGAGCCATGGAAACACTTCCGGGTTCGCCTCTGCAACCAACCCAGAAGAAGCGGCCATTGAAACAAGCAACCAAGCAATCCGTGTGAATTTCTGAGATTTGGGTTTGATTCAAAACCCCATTTCGGGTAGGGAATTGGGAAGCGGAAGGAAAAGGAGTTCAGATTCTTCGGTGCTTCATTTGGTTGTTTTTCTTGGTATTTTCCTCTGTTTTTCTATATTATTCGACAGAGGAGAAATGAGAAGAAAAAATAGTGAAAATTTGGGGCAGGGGAAGAGGCAACTGAGGACAGTGAGTAGTGTGTGAGGGAGACGTGTGAGTGGTGTTGTATTCTGGGTTGGTACCCACTTTCCCAAATGACATTGTTTCTCAATCTTTTTACATTTGTACCAATTTTTTAAAATTTTCTTTTTGGTTTTTAGTTTGAGAATTGGTCACTTGGAGTCAAAATAACAAATTTCTTTAGTTGTTGTAATTTCTAGGATGACCTTTGTGACTTTTTCGTTTGGATAATTTGAAAAGAAAATAGAATCGCTTTTTTGCATTTACATTTCATTCTTACCCTATAATGGGTGGTTGGATTGGATGTGACGACTCGTCCTTAATTTTCTATGTAATTTCTTCTCAAGCGTGTAAATTGACATTTATGCTCAGGTTGGCAAAGTGACGTGGACATGTTTAGGCAGCTTTAAATTATTTTTCTCGTTATTGTAATTAATTAGTATTCGTTGTTACAATCGCGTGAGCGCGAGTTAGACCCGAATCGGATTCACAATGAAAAAAGTTACGTTACGTTAAAGTACGTAAATGACGGGTAGAATTGTACACAAATGCGTGTTAATTCATTAGTGTTAGAAACACTGTTTTGGATAGATTTCATCTGATTACTTTTCTACAAACCCTATCCTTTTTCTTCTTTAAAACAGGACCCGTGCCTTACTCACTTTCACCAACCAATCAGCTTTTTTCCCCAAATCTCTCCCCCAATCAAATTTCCCTCCTCTCTATCCAATCAGAACTCGGCATCGGTCTCTCTTTCATCTCCTTTTTTTTCTCCCTCACCGTAACTCTATCTTCTCTGTGATCACCAAGAACGCATATCAAAACTCATAGATCGAACCTCCAACTAGCACCATCGTGTTCCTCTCGAACTCACGAACACAACCATACCAACCGATTCTTGAATAGTTAAGTTTTGAATGGTCAACGTAAAGCAACTCGGAAGATTCGACTTGGACGAGTTTACTCCGACATGATCCCGGTTGAGTCACGACGTTTTGAAGGTTGTAGGAGCTTCCATTCAACTCCTTGAGGCCTTTAGTCAAGGTTTGAAGAAGCTTTAACATCGGAACAAGTGAGTTTGAGGAGTTGAGTTTTAGGCCAAGACTTTCGAACCATTTTCAAGCCATTTCCCGTCCATTTTTTTGACTCCCAAAAGTTATAACCTTGTTCATCTCCTCAAGATCTTCATTTCCATATAAAGTTGGTCAAAAATGGTTAAGAATTGAGTAAGTTATGCAAGTTTGAATTTTCCCCAGAAACCGGCCACTTTTTTCAGATTCTGGTGAAACTAGACGACGGCCAGCGGTGACCCATCGGAGAAGACGACAAATATTCCATCAAACTTTACGGAATATTCTAACGGCGTCAAGTTCCGTTAACTGTTTAACGGAATATTTTGTCAACTCTAACGAAATATTCCTGTCTTATGTCATATTCTGCCAGGTGCGTGTGGCCGTGGGTTGGGCAACGCGTGACAGCGTGTCCGGCCTCCGGCCGACAAGTGGTTGATACGTGTGGGTCCGTGACTTCAAGTTGAACATTTTCATATATTCAAACCTTTCATTTGAGCAAATTATGGGGAGTTTTTCCTAGTTTTTTCGTTTATGTGTTAGTTAAGTAATTATTATTAGTTGTTTCGCATATAGGGGAAACTTACCTTGAGGACGTACGTGGACAAACGAGACTAGGGGACTACAATCCATCGACATACCAGTGAGTGGGCATTTTTATTATATATATATATATATATAAACTTTATAGTTTCCACAAATACTTTTAAATTGATTTATCCATATTATCCCACGATTTACTTAATTTTAAAATGTTGTTATGTGGTTGAGATTTATCTCGTCATGGCATATTCATAGGCATTTTACCTGCTCATAACTATTGTACTATTGTGAAATGCTAAAGAAATTCTACAAGACGTGGAAATAAGTTTAGGTAAGTTTATTGTGTTGATTGCAATCATTGAATCATTATGGCATGCATATATTCATGTAGTACTCATCATTGTTGCACCCCGGTGTTAGTGCTCCCATCTCGGGTTAGGGCCAGTCATTCACGTGTATGTTCACCTCCCGCACTGCACGCTCACCTTGGATCCAAGTAGGTGTTAGCCCTGTCGTATAAGTCGCATTAGGCGACTCCGACTCGTAGGTGACCGCACATAGCTCTAGTCTTCACGTGATCGTAGCACTATAGCGTATATTATTACACCTAGCCATGTCGTACGGGTCACATTAGACAACTCTGACTTGTGTGCTAGCATAAACTGATGAGCAATAGGTGCAATCGTACAAGCCATATTAGGTGACTCAGACTTGTGTGCTAGTATAGATTATTGAACACATAATTATATTTATATTGCGGATGAGACATTGAGCTGTGGCATACTTCTGGTTTTAATGTTAGCATGCATTTGATTTAATATTTATACGTAATATGATTTTATGGAAACTATACATGTTTTACAACGAATGGTTAGTATGTTTAGAAAATAAATGGATTTTACAAATCTTGATTTTTGTGCCCACTCAACCTTCTGTTTTTCGCTCATCCAGGTCCTAGATAGCTGAATCACTCTGTGGTGTGCAAGGATTTGACAGCGATTCTAACATATCTCCATTTTAACATAGGAACTTATTCCCAGTTGTGTAATAAGTGCTTCTTTAGTTTGACTGCTTTACCCTTATGTTATCTATGCTTTGAACATTTGTAGTTTATGGGTTCTACCCTCTACTACAAACTCACTTTAGTAGTTTAAATAAGTTCTATTTTCGGTTTTAATTTATCCACATTTTTCTTACATCACTTACACTTTTGGTTACATCACATTTGGGTGACAGCCAACATGCCTCAACTCCGGTCGGAGTGTGTCATTGGAACCGTGTGATGGTTCGAGAACGGTTTCATATATTCTTCGCATTCATCTTCATCCTTTTGTTACCTACAAAACTGAGAAAGTGGTAAATATCCATCCAACCCATGGTTAATGGGAGAAATTTTTCAGTGTGCCATGTACATAGCCCATACACTAAGTGTAATAATACAAAAAATGGAAATGTGAATAAAAAAATTTACCGCCAATAGTATTATAACACTTTGTATACTTGGGCATATTCTCATTACAGTGAAAAATTTCTCGTCTATTGGAGTACAAATTTTGGAAGGTTGATAGATTGTCAATTATTGGGTAAGCAATTACATGAACTTTTTCACTTGCATTATTATAGTCAGTCTCTTCGTTCGTTCATTTGAATTTATATTTTGTATATAGGCACGGAGTCAAAAATTTAAGTAACAGAAGGAACCTTAAAGAGCTTATGAGCACTTAAAAGCTTAACATAAGTTGTCACTCAGTACTACAGTCTGGTGGTATTCCTCTTCACTTAGAAGTGAAAGATCTTAGGTTTGAATCTCGTTGACGATGAATTCGATATCAAATTAGGTTGCACATTATGTGACTTAGTTGAACTCCCCCTCCCTCTAGTGTAAAAATATTGATATACTAAAAAAAGACCTTAATTAATAATTTACAAACAAAATGTTAGAGCAAGGCTCTGCCTACGGACTTATGCTCTCAACGCCACTGTTTCTAATGTTTGTAGTTTGGTGGTCTGACCTATTTGACTTTTACGTTTCTCTAAAAAATCATTCTAAAAGATCGCCAAAATCAAACAATAACATGTTATCCTAGTTCGGGCTACAAACGCTTTAGATTAGGTTACAAGTCGTAATTAAAACCCATCTTTTTGTTGCAAATATAGGCGCATTCACATTAATAACTTGCCTAAAATGATACATCTTCTTGTTCATGATTTTATTTGTTATATAAAAAATAAAAAATAAAAAAAAAGTTGCATTAATTGTTATTCTCAAATTGTCCATGTATTTATATGAAAAATAAATAAATTGTTATTCGTAAAACTAGCCTAATTTTTTTTTCCTTATGTTAGGTATGATTGTTTTTTTTATTAAAATATATATTAGAAAATAATGAACGTAACAACATACAGTCTCATCAAGCCGCTTTTTCGTAAATTTGGTTTTAAAATTATAAAGGGAGTAGGGTAGTTTTGGTATCATAAAAGCTTCATTATTTTTGTTTTCTTCCTTTATATATTTAGATATAAACTTTCAAAAATATTCGAACATTTCTATATTCCACAGCACCCTAAAACGAAATGGGAATGAAACTTTTTCAAAATTTATTCCGTTTTTTTTTTTTTTTTTTTTTTTTTTTTTGTCAAAGAAAAATTTATTCCGTTAATTACAAGTCAATTTGTTTGCATCGCAGCTTGCACTGGAGGGTTCAAATCCAGGTTCCGTTTGGCTGTGGGCCACGTTTCCATATCTCATTGGATTGCATTGCTATGATGGTAGGCCGCATAATACTGTAACGTATGCAAATATATTATTTTGAGTCTTTGACAAAAAATGCACTTATATCACGTCATAAAAAGGAGAATGAAATAGGTTTTTATATTAAAGAAATTATATAACACAATATTCGACTTTTAAGTGGACATGTTTGAGTACTTAGAATGTGAATGAGCATGAATTGGATTATGAAGAATTCAGGGTGAACATAAATTAGAAAGAATTATTCTTGTTAAGGTGACTACTAACTATCATGAATCAAAATTCAAAAAAAGAAGATGAACTCAATAAATTGTTTACTAACGCAGATGACAACTATAGTGGCGGAAAATAATTATGCATATATACCATGATGCAAGTTTGATTCCAACCGATCTCACACTCCCTAAAAATTGATAATTCAACTTATTAACGCTATTGTTTATAAAAAAAAAATGTATTTACTAACGATTCGTAATCAGAATAAAAACTAGTATGATTACTTAAATACTTCTTGTACAAAATAAAAATTATGCTCTTGAATCTCATTCCTAATTTTGTGGAATTCATGTAGATTTTGATTCTCGTACTTATGGTAAACAATGAGATAATCTGCAAGGGTGAGGATTGTCTGCCATCTCACTTTCGAT